ACTTTCGATGTTGAGCCGGGGGTCTCTTTGGAAACAGCCTCTCTACTTTCGAGTAAGGGCAAGGTCTGCGTGAACACTCTCCCCAGACTCTACTCTTGTGGGATTTAACTGGGTTGTTGTTGGGCCTGTTTGGGAATAGCGTTAGTTATTAACGTCAGCGTTTTGGATAAAATTTTAACGGTGCAGATTAATTTGAAAACGTTGACGGTAAACGCTGCCCGTAGATAACCTTTTGAAAACGCTAACGCTAATAGCTAAAGCTATTCCCAAACAGGCCCGTTGTTGTGGAAAAAATAAAAGCAAAGGAAGAACCAAGAGGCTTTTGAGACAACTGAATACATATGACCGATGATTGAGAAAAGAAAAATGTCAGTTCCACATTCTGTACATGCTTGTACTGTGTACCCTTTGTTCTTTCCGCCACTTTTTAGTTCTAGCCGAATAGAGAAAGAAGAAGAAGAAAGAAGAAAAGGGAAAAAGGAATGGAGAGTTTGGTACTCCACTCTCCACTTGCAGCCGCCGGCGGAGCCGCCATTTCCTTCTCCAGCCTCTCCTTCCCGCGTCTCCGTTCACGCTCCTCCGTGCAATGCCGGACATCCTTAACCCCCATCGCTACAACCGCCGCCCTCCGCCGCCGCATCACCTCCCCAAGGATCGCCCTTCACAATCCAAAACCTTTCCTCCACTTCAACCCACTCTCCGAACCCTTCTCGAAACCTCCGCCGCATATCGCCCGAGCTTCCGCCTCCGGCGACAAGATCTCCACCGTCCAAATCCCTAAACCCCAGGGCGCAAAGATCGTTCCTTTGGTGATTTCCCTCTCAATTGGACTTCTCCTCCGCTTCGCAGTCCCCAAACCTGCCGATGTCTCCCCGCAGGCGTGGCAATTGCTGGCCATCTTCCTCTCCACCATAGCCGGCCTCGTCCTCAGCCCTTTGCCCGTTGGAGCTTGGGCTTTCCTCGGACTCACAACCTCAATTCTCACGAAAACCCTATCTTTCTCCTCGGCTTTTGGAGCTTTTACTAATGAGGTCATCTGGCTCATTGTCATCTCCTTCTTCTTTGCCCGTGGATTCGTGAAGACCGGGCTGGGTGACCGAGTTGCCACTTACTTTGTTAAGTGGTTGGGGAAGAGTACTCTCGGATTGTCCTATGGATTGACTCTCAGTGAGGCATTGATTGCTCCGGCGATGCCCAGCACCACCGCCAGGGCTGGTGGGGTTTTCTTGCCCATTATTAAATCTCTTTCCCTGTCATCAGGGAGCAAGCCAGGGGATCCTTCTGCAAAGAAGCTGGGATCTTATCTGGTCCAATCTCAATTCCAGGTTAGCTTTTTGTTACTGCTTTTTTATGATTCTTGATGTGCTTGTTTTTATAGACCCGTTGAGAATGGAGCTAAATAGAGCTTCAAAGACTCATTCTTGATGATGCTTTAGTTTCGGGTAAAGAGTAGACTAAATCAAAATGACATGTTAAACTTCATTTGCTTCTTACTTTGTATGGAGTTTGTATGAAGTTTTTGGTAGTAAATGCAGCATTGCAGAAAGGGTATTATTGCTTTGTACAATAATAGTGCATTTTGAGACTTAGGCCTCTAACTTATTATGTGATGGTGTCAGTCTTCTGCACACTCCAGTGCCCTTTTCTTGACTGCTGCTGCACAAAACTTACTATGCCTCAAGTTAGCTGAGGGGCTTGGTGTGGTGGTCACAAACCCATGGATTTCTTGGTTCAAGGCTGCCAGTTTGCCGGCCTTCGTTTCCCTCCTGGCTACTCCGTTTGTTCTGTACAAGTTATGTCCTCCTGAAATCAAAGATACGCCCGATGCCCCTGCTTTGGCAGCCAAAAAATTGGATCTTATGGGCCCCGTCACCAAAAATGAATGGGCTATGATCGGAACGATGCTTCTTGCTGTCTCTTTGTGGGTTTTTGGGTAGGTCCAAACTTTTCATTTCTTTGAATCGCGTAATTCTTTTTTACAGTTGGTGATGTTACATCATTTTATATTAATTTTGAATCCTCTCAGGGATGCCATTGGAATATCGAGTGTCACGGCTGCAATGCTAGGGCTATCCATCCTACTGCTAACAGGAGTCCTTGATTGGGACGACTGCCTGAGTGAAAAGTCGGCATGGGATACCCTATCATGGTTTGCAGTCCTAGTGGGCATGGCAGGCCAGCTGACAGACCTTGGCATTGTCTCTTGGATGTCCAACTCAGTGGCCAAGTCCCTCCAGTCTCTGGCCTTGAGCTGGCCCGCGGCGTTTGCCGTGCTCCAAGCCTCTTACTTCTGCATCCATTACCTGTTTGCAAGCCAAACTGGCCATGTTGGGGCATTGTACTCTGCATTTCTTGCCATGAATCTGGCCGCTGGTGTGCCCGGGGTTTTAGCAGCACTGGGTTTGGCTTATAATACTAACCTTTTCGGCGCTTTGACGCATTATAGCAGCGGCCAAGCTGCTGTTTACTTTGGAGGTATGGTTTTATTTTTTTGATGGCTTTTGGTTTTTGCAATATCCTTTTTAAGAAGTTAATGGGATGCCCTAAATATATATCAAAAGAATTTGTTTGTTTGTTTGTTTTCAAGACTAAATAGAAGTATACTCTCCATTGTGGATGTCTCAAAATTAAAGTCACACTTCCATATTTGGCATACATAAAACACACTAAAAAGACTATACAATTATTTGTTCCATCCATTTTTTCTACCCATCCTCATTACCTTTTTTCAAGGGCAATTCGGGAAGGTTAATGCACGTTTATTATTTGCCTTAATACGTGTTAAGTCAATTTGTAAGTGAGAAAAAAAAGCATTAATAACACACATTTATTATTTGCTCCTTTTTTTAAATTGCTCATTATGACTTTTTTGATACATTAGGAAAACGAATGCATGTATAGATTCATATTTATTATAACTTCTAATGTATCACAGAAGTTATATTAGTCAGTTAACAAAGAACGACGCACACTTGTTATGCTAGGTCATATCGAAAAAATATAAAGATAAAAAGCTTTAATTCTTGGATTCATTTCAATATTTATTATTATTATTATTATTATTGTTATTATTATTATTATTATTATATGTTTTCTGATGCCTCTTCATTTGTTTGTTCCTGGGACAAAAAAAACAGCTGGGTATGTGGATCTTCCTGATGTGTTCAAAGTTGGATTCATAATGGCAATCATCAATGCAATCATATGGGGAGTTGTGGGCATTTTCTGGTGGAAGTTCTTGGGCCTTTACTGATCTTTTCTTCTTTTTTAAATTTATTTAG